TGTGATACAATACGATACCAAACCAAATGTAGCCTTGTTTAAAAGTGTTACTTCACATATTTTTTGTCTCTAACTTTATTTTAGATCATAGAAGGGAAAATTTTCCATTTACTATTGTTAGGAAGAATGAGCAACGGTAGGGGTGAGAAGGGTTAAAAAAGAAGCTTGTTTCTTGGATGGTAATCCTTCTTGTATTGCTAACTTTAATGTGAAGCGACAAAGGTGTAACTCTGAGGTAACAAACTCCCCCCTTTCTCTCCCTTTGCCTGTTTCCTTTTTTCTCTTTAGTAAAATGTATTTTTCTGTTTCTCCTTTTCTTTGACCTCCTTTGGTTAAAAGTTTAATAATTTCACCATCTTTATGCTTTTTCTTCATCTGGGTTTTGAGATTTCTCAGATTTTGTACACGGTAACTAGTTAAAAATGTCAAAAGGACTTTCATCTTCTGTAGGTAATATCCAAGGTCCATATACGGACGAGGTATTGGTGTGCCAATTTACGCACTTGATCAATGCCCAAGGCTGTCTATGGTTGGGGAAAGATCCATTTAATTTTACTTTACCAGTTCTATTGTTACAGTTTGTTGTAATTACAACGGTCGCTAGTATTACTTGGATAATTCTCAAACCTCTTAAACAGAGTATGGTCAGTGCACAACTTATCGTAAGCCCCTACCTCTTTAGGTATTTGTGGTTAATGCTTTTTGACATATTTATCGCATTTTGCTTTTGATTTATAGACAAGGCAATGCCATGCCTTATATAATGTATTTGTAGTGTCATGTTCGTTTATACAAAGAAAGCTTCCACTAGATATAGCCATGAACCGGCTAAAGTAGCGAAAAACGAATACTAAATTTATTGGAGACAATTTTATATCAATGTAAACTTTAGGAAGTTGAGGCAGATATTAACTTTAGACAATTTTACCTACAAAAATGGCAATATAAACCATCAGTTTAGCATCCTAATTTATGTTGTGTGTTTTCTTTGGTCTTCTATCGTTGGCATAATTATTGTATTGATTTTGAATAACAGACCGGTATCATTTTGGGTCGATCCTTTTTGGGGCACATTCAAGTTTATTCCGACAAGTTATTTCCTCCAGGAGGAAGATTGGTACTTGAAACATTTGCAGATATTGGCTTCATGTTTCATATGTTTATATTAGGAATAAATGTTGATATAACATTGGTGAGGAGAGCAGGAAACAATGCTGTAGTAATTGGTGCTACGTGCTTTTTTCTGCCTTTAGCAATTGGGATTTTGGCCATTCTCATTGTACCTCATTTTGTGATATTAGACGAGTCAGCCGAGACTTCTCTACCTTTTGTTGCAACGATAAATGCAATATCTCCATTTCCTGTAATAACAAGTCTCCTCAGTGACCTTAACATTCTTAATTCTGAGATTGGAAGGATTGCTACTTTGGCATCCTTAGTTTGTGACATTTGCCAATACTTAGTGTCCGTGGTTATTGGTTCAGTTGGTTTGACATTAAATTCTGAAGCTAGTGTCTTCTGGTCCATTATATGGGGTCCTTGCTTTCTGATCGTCATTATATTTGCGCTTCGTCCCATAATTTTACACCTAGCTAAGCATATACCAGAAGGACAACAAATGAAAGAGTTCCAATTCATATTCATTGTTGTAATAGTCTTGATATGTGGATTTCTTGCTCAAAGTCTTGGCCAGCCTCCTGCACTTGGAACTTTTATTTTGGGCATGGCTATACCAGATGGACCGCCTTTGGGATCTGCTCTGGTGTATAAGCTTGAAATAATAAATTCTGGCTTGCTTGTTCCAGCCAAGTTTGCACTAAGTGGTTTAACTATGGACTTATTCTCAGTCAAAAAAGGAAACGCTGGAGCCGTATATGGGGTTCTCATCTTCTTTGGTTATGCAGGAAAGTTCACAGGCACCTTAATTCCTGCACTTTACTACAGAATTCCCTTGAGGGATGCTGTCTCTCTTTCTCTTATTATGTGTTGCAGAGGTATCATTGAAGCTGTTATGTACATAACAATGCAAGAGGATGGGGTAAGTTGTCTTGCTCTCTCATTCGAACCATAGAATGGGATTCTTGAGTTGAACAATATCTATGAACATTTTAGCATGTTTGATATACAAAACTAGCTATGATTGAACAGTATAGTCCACATTATAGAATGAATGACTAACCCCTTGAGAAATGAAGATCGGTAGTCAATTGATTAGGATCAAAATCATACATATGGATACTGATCTACATTGTGGTCTTATCAAGTCTTTATTTGGCCATGTACAGATCATAGACAGTGAAGCATATGCCCTTCTGTTAATCTCAATGCTGATCGTAACAGGAATTGCAAGGCCTTTGATATTTCACCTCTACGACCCATCAGCAAGGTACTTTCATCATCAAAAAAGCAGCATTCTATGCTCGGATCCTTTTAGTGAGCTCCGGATGCTCGTCTGCATTCACAGTGAAGAAAATGTCCCGACTCTTATAAGTGTCCTCGAAGCCTCGACCCCCCAGAGAAGAAGGCCTATTGCTGTTTTCGTCCTGAATCTAATGGAGCTTAAAGGCAGAGCAGCAGCCGTGCTTGAGCCGACTATTGGTAAAAGCAAAAAGCTCACTACTTCAAGAAGCTGGTCAGAACAAATTGCCAATGCTTTCAACTTGTTCGCACAGCACAATCACGGCTGTGTGTTTGTTCAATACTTCACCTCAATTGCTCCGTATGCTAGCATGCATGATGATATTTGTTCAGTCTCACTAGAACAAAACACGAATATTGTAATCGTGCCTTTTCACAAACAATGGACTATTGATGGAAGAGTGGGAGTCAACTCCCCTTCAATCAGAATGGTAAACCTAAATGTTATGCAAAAGGCCCCATGTTCTGTGGGTATCCTTGTTGACCGTGGACAGATGGCCGGAAGGCATTCGATTTTGGGAGGTCAGTCCATGCTCCGAATCACTATGCTATTCCTCGGTGGTGCAGATGACTGCGAAGCTCTAGCATACACAAGTCGTTTGCTTGAAAATCCACAAATCGAACTCACTTTTATCTGGCTTAGGCCATGGGATCACATGAAGTACGACGATGAAACAGAGAAGACTATCGATACACAATTGGTTAATCAGTTCCGGGCAAATACCATTGGAAATCAAAGGGTCGTTTACAAAGAAGAAATGGTAAATGACGCAATAGGAACTACAAAGGTGATTAGAACAATCGAAGACAGTTGTGATTTATGCATAGTTGGTAAGTACCATGATCCTGATTCTCAGCTTTTACTAGGCCTTACTGAATGGAATGAATGTCCCGAACTTGGAATCATTGGAGACATGTTAGCCACCTCGGATTTTCGGTTTTCAGTTTTGGTGGTGCAACAACAGCCTCAAGAAGATAAATTTATGGAGAACCATCCTTTTCAGACAGTTTCTTGTTGTTCATCAGGAAAATATAGTCTATATCAAGATCATTCTTATTCTCTTAATGAAGATTTAGGTCATTCCAAGTTTTAATTTTGTAAGGTTTTAAGTAGGAACAGAAAATGAAACTGATCCATAGAGCACACAGAAATATCAGACAGTTAAGAATTCTGTTCAGACATAAACATTGTACATAGAAAATCTACATGTTTGCATTTGAATATGATCCTGTCTATGAAAATTGTTTTACCACTGCACCGTGCCCGTGGGGCTCTTTACGATTATTTACTGATGGATAAAATGGATTTAGTCACTTGCAAATAGTAAACAATATTAGCTCCAAT